ACACGCGCCAGAGCAAGGAAGATAAGATAAAGCACACACTACCTACAATCCAGATGTCTTTTCTTCTAAGTGATAAGTCCATTCTCTGGAAGCAGCTACAGAAGTCACTTGGCTTATATGATCCTTCCCTCCCCTGATCTAGCACAAGCCTGTTTCCAAACATGTGCTTGTTACATGCTCTGTTCTGAGGAGCAGGTGTTGCTGAATTGCAGAGGGTTCTTGCAGAGTCCTGCAACAGATATTTCCAGTTATACGACTAACAGATAATCTGCCTCTTTAAAAGGAAAAATATGATGGCCTGTGTGACAGATCTGAAACAGGTGCAGGGGCAGAGAGAGACCTGCTGGCTGCAATTGACACCAACACAAATGCACTTGTCCCCAGTTCAAGGACGATTAGCACCACAGAAACTGGCATCTGCCTTTATGGCTAGGCCACCGCCAGGGAGCTTTCTCCTGCCTTCACGGGTGAGGAGCAAAGAGATGGGGGTGGAGAAACACAACTTTAAAAATCACAAAACCTCCACCCACAGCTATGTTATTTTGAGATCTAAGTTATAGTCATTATGAATACCACTGATGGTACAATTTCATAGCGATTAGTCAGGAAATGCCACCTGCTATGAAATGCACCAACTGCAATCAAAATAGGGAGATCCATGCTTTGCTCCAACCCACTCTATCCTATGCACATCCTGTTAAATAGTTTGTTTTGTTGGGTCTCTGGAGCATTCACACCAGGCATTTAAACATTCCAGGGGCTGTGAGGTCCCACCTCCAATAGGACCATCCTTATTTTCTGCCCCTACAACTTCACCTTACCCCTGTGGTTGGGACCATGCCTTCTGGATGGAGGTTGGGTAACTAGGGGTGTACAGGAAGTGGAGGAAAACCAAAGGATGAGGAGGTGAGAGCAGATAATCTTGGGCATAGAAAGCAGGGATATGTATAGTAAATGGGGGAAGGCAGGGGAAGGCAGAAAGAGCTGAATGGGAGACTGGAACTCTTGTCTGAGAACATTATCTGGCTCTTCAGTCTTCCGTTAAGCAAATAGAATGTGTGTGTGTGTGTGTGTGTGTGTGTGTTAAATAGTAAATTAGATCTGAGGGAAATGCAGGGGTATCTATACAGGTAGTAGAGAACTAACAAAAGAAGAAAACCTGGATTTGATTGCATAAAAGTAATACTAATTCTAGTTATGAGAGTCATCTGCCATTTATGAGTTAATAGTATATACACAGTAGCTATTAAACTCATCACTCAAATGTGGTAGATTAATGTTTTTTAAGTTTTACTTGATTTCAACACCATATTATGTAGGTTTAGATCTAGTGTTTTATGGCGTATCTGCTGAAAGCTTTTAAAATTCTGCACTACTTATGTGATTTAGCACACCCATCAGAATGTAATAGAATGAGGGGCCGGCCCCGTGGCTTAGCGGTTAAGTGCGCGCCCTCTGCTACTGGCGGCCCGGCTTCGGATCCCGGGCGCGCACCGCCGCAGCGCTTCTCTGGCCATGCTGAGGCCTCGTCCCACATACAGCAACTAGAAGGATGTGCAACTACGACATACAACTATCTACTGGGGCTTTGGGGAAAAAAAGGAGGAGGATCAGCAATAGACGTTAGCTCAGAGCCGGTCTTCCTCAGCAAAAAGAGGAGGATTAGCACGGATGTTAGCTCAGGGCTGATCTTCCTCACAAAAAAAAAAAAAAAAAAGAATGTAATAGAATGACAAGTCATTAGAAAACAGAATAAAAGGGAAAGTAGAAAAATAAAATGAACAAAACATAGTAGAAAAGTAGAATATGTGGGAGCCAGCCCTGTGGCTTAATGGTTAAGTGCACGTGCTCCGCTACTGGTGGCCTGGGTTCGGATACCAGGCGTGCACCAACAAACCGCTTGTCTGGCCATGCTGAGGCCGCGTCCCACATAAGCAACTAGAAGGATGTGCAACTATAACATACAACTATCTACTGGGGCTTTGGGGAGAAAAAGGGAAAAAAAGGAGGAGGATTGGCAACAGATGTTAGCTCAGGGCCAGTCTTCCTCAGCAAAAAGAGGAGGATTGGCATGGATGTTAGCTCAGGGCTGATCTTCACACACACACACAAAAAAAGTAGAATATGTGGAATTTAATAAATTCAACAAAAAATAAAGTAGAGAAAAAGAAAGAAGATAGTTAAAAATAAATCCAGTGGGGGAAAAATAGGTGAAATAAAAAAATTCTGGTTAAGAGCAGGAAAAGAATCCGAGTTTTACCAAATTATATTAACAAATATAAGTTGTTAAATGGATAGATAATTTTTCCCAATTGAGACTGGAGAGTAAAGACTCTTCTAGAGATAAATTGCACTTCAAGCCTTCAAAACAAAGCTTGCACGTCACTCGAGTGTCTGAAATTCAGAGTAAATTCTTTTCAGTGCACCACAGTGAAGGTTTCTACAATGATTAGCAGTACTAATCTTCTCAAAGAGAGACAAGATAAAAGAGAAAGAAGAATAAGTGGAGAAAATTATGGCATTTTTTTTTATAGTGCTGGAGAGAAAAGAGTGATGTCATAAAGACTTACTGTGGCCCCAGCAGAAGATGGAGACATGTCAATCTAGCACTGTCTATGTACCTGAAGACATCTGAGCTGCTGGAATGCCCTTCTCCACCACCCGCTGCCAAGGCCTGCTGGCTACGTTGGCACCCACTGACTGGGCAAGCAAGGCCTCCATCGCAGTGGCCTTGGCAGCCACAGAAAGGAGAAGAGCTCTGGGCCTGTGATTCATGTGCCCATCCGTTCTCCACAAGGCGAGAGAGAGGCAGGGAAATTTATCGCTGACATCTCTGGGCCCTCCGCCATTTACAAAGAAGAAACTGAATGGGCATATGGGGCTACTAGTCATTCCCTCTCACCTTCCGTGCATCATGGGCTGCAGGAAGGCCCAGGTTACACAAGGGATATTGGACTAATTGCAAAGGATGTTCTTTTGGAGTTTCTGAGGAACAACATTCTCAGTCTTTTCCTCAAAAATATCCTAAAATATTTAACTTCCAAATCATTTGATTTCTAATATTCTGGAGCAGTTTATCACAAAAATAATTCTTCCTAAAAATGTTTATGTTCCAGCTTAGCACCATTTCACTCTCTAAAGATATTGCCTAATTATAAAAATTATATCACAGAACCTGGAGAAAAACAGTACTGGAAAAATCAAATTCATATAAACTGTGATAGATAGTTGATTATGTCAAAGTTTTCCAAGAAGAATATTCTGTCTTCTCTGTCCTACAGAAATTAATGAGCAGAAAAGGAAATTCTTCTGTTTATTTGTTTCTATTATAAACAGCCCTAATGAGGAAGCCCTTCACATCTGACTTAAATTTTGCCTGTGGAAATTTCTTCCTGGTATATACTGAACAAGATGTTAACTCATAGGGAAAGGGAAGGGCTCAAAACACCTAAGTTTCAACCTAACACATTTCTTCTCTCCAGTACATTTTATTGTTCCATAGTCACTTACAACAGAGGGACTCCTCTGCCCTTTCTGTCTAACAGCTCTGTTTCACTGTCTGTTGCATCGTTAGAAATGCCCTTCCAATCTGAATAGTGTTTTTCAGAACAGTAGCTAGACAGAGAGATGTTTCCCAAACCTGCCTGATAAGAATCACTTGCTCTGATTATTAAAAATAAAGATTCCCAGCCCTCAACCAGGATGCAGAATTCAGTTAAATACATCTGTTCATTCCACAAACATTTTTGGTGCCTGTCGTGTGCTGGTTACCAGGGAAGCAACTGAGAATGCAAGGACGAGTGACACAAGGTCCCGACCTTGAGGAGTGCTGTCTAGAGAAAGGAGACAGACACACTCAAAACAATTGCATGTGCTAGAATAAAGGCATGAGTGAAATGCCGTGAGGCCCACGCTGGGTCAGGACCCACACTTCTATGGGTCGATGAGTGGGAATGGACTAAACCAGGGAAGGGGAGGGGGCTGCTGCTGTTGCAAACACTTACTGAATGCTTACTATGGTGACAGACAGATACTGTGCTAAGTGCTTTATATCCATTATCACACTATTCATTATTCCGCTGAGGCAGCCCCTTGGTTGAGTTTAATAACTTGCCAAAGATCAAGCAGCCAGAATCAGGCTCAGGGCCCTCACTCTGCACAAATGACAACAAGCCATCAGGCAAGGCTTGCTTGTCCCTGTCTCTGTCACTGTCAACAGCTCTGCCACCTACACTGTGAGATGCTCAAGGCCTTGAGGAAATTAGAAACTTCTTCCGCAGAGCAATTGTGCCCCTCACAGTGCTTCTATGAATTTCATGCCCAAATCCATTCTTTTAAATGATCCTTCTTAAGACGTGTGTTTCTGTGAGTTCACTTTTATAGCTTCTAAGCCACTAACCGCAGTGTGGAGTAGCCTGCAGGGACAGATGCATATTCAAAGGCCTCCTAATTACCTACCAAACTCAATCGTATAATTTACAACACATAATCCTCAGTGAAACAAAATGGAAGTTTGTCTATTCATAAACATTCCTTAATTCTACACACAAGTAACAAAATAGAATTTGAAAAGGGTCTGATAATGGCTACATTTATTTTTTTTATTTTTTATTTTTTTAGTGCTTTATTTTTTATTTTTTTATGAGGAAGATCAGCCCTGAGCTAACATCCGTGATAATCCTCCTCTTTTTTGCTGAGGAAGACGGGCTCTGAGCTAACATCTATTGCCAATCCTCCTCCTTTTCTTCCCCCCAAAACCCCAGTAGATAGTTGTATGTCATAGTTGCACATCCTTCTAGTTGCTGTATGTGGGACGCGGCCTCAGCATGGCCGGAGAAGTGCTGCGTCGGTGCACGTTCGGGTTCCGAACCCGGCCTCCAGTAGCAGAGCGTGGGCACTTAACCGCTAAGCCACCGGCTGGCCCTACATTTATTGATTTATGTAAGAAAAGATAAGGTAGAACCAATACTTTTTAAGACACTAAATTAGCACATAATTACCTCATTCTTTCCAGATCTTGAATCTTGTTCACTAGAACTTTCTTCCAGAAAACATTTCTCAACCTTTTTCATGCACTGAAAAAAGGCCATTTTCTCCAGCTGGTTACTGTTGTAACACGTGTCTGCTTCCTCCAGCCTCTTCACTTTTAACATCTTGGTGGTGAGTCCGATTAAGTTACTGTCTGGAGTGTGATTTTCATCTCCATTTGCCTCCGATTTATAAATGAGGACACAGCTGTGACTTCTGAGTGTGCCTTCCTCTTCACTGTAAAGAATGGAAACAAAGTTCTCATCATATACTCACACATTTGATTTTTTTGAGAAAATGACCAGGGAGAATTTTGAAGTCTCTTTTACTTAAACTGGAGAGAGGATCCAAAATTAGGAAGAGAAATACTAATATTAATATCAAATTTCAAACGCTGGAACTTGGAAAGGAAAAAGATTTTGTTTCACTTTTTCCTGCAAAAGCAAACAGTAAGAAGCAATCTTAAGTTTCCCTTATTGCATAAGGTGAGATTTCTATCAAGCAGCCTGTTTAAATAGAGAGCATAAAGTTTCTTTGGGTTGAGTTGGGATTGCAGGTTTTGCTCCTCCCATCCCCAAGCGAAAGGCTTCCCACATAAGGGGTCTCTCAGGCTTCCCCGGGGGAATTCTGCCCCCTCTGGGGAGCGGTCTCCACCAAATGAGCCATTTCCAGACCCCTTCTCTGCCGACACCTTAAAATGTTTGGTGTTTATTTTGAAAAAGGAAATTTGTTTCCTTACAGCCCTATCACATAGATAAGATAACCAGATACCTTTCTTTGCATCTTCATAAATGGCTAGGTACCGAGGGGTTCAAATCCTGTGCTTTCCTTGAAATACTTTCCTTACAAACTAAGTAATAAATGTAATACTGCTCTGATAATAGAGATCGACAGGAACGCATGGATCTACATGGCACTTGACTATATGGGAGTGGGAGGGGGAGAGAGAGACTGAGTTGAGTTTGTGGCAGGTTCCCACGGCTGACTTCTGAGGCCTCCTGCTGGAGATTTTTTGAAAATTGCTTCTTCTAACTTGTTCTAAATTTAAAATTACCTGAAATTATCTCCACAAAACTTCGTCTTTCATTTCCTCAACTCATAGTAAAATGATACTTTGAGTTCCAAATTATTTAAAATCCAATGCTCTGCAAAATTCTGCTTAGCCACATAAAGACCTTACATTCAAACACACTAAAATGTAAATAATATCAACCAGAGTTCTATGAGATACATTATAGACCATTATTAGCATTCTTTCAAATTGCCCTGAAAAAAAATCATTATTAAAATAAGGAGACAGATGCATGGCTATTTCTAAGGCTAACTATGACTAAAATATAATATGTAATTGCAGATGCTACTCAAGTTGGATCAGGAAGCCACATGAAAATTAACATATTAAAACAAAAGCTTAGGTCCAAGATATAATAATTTTTCAAAGAAAATTTAAATTTTAACATTTAAATATTAAATGTTAAACTCTACCTGGAGTTTGGTACAGCTTGTTATTTAAGGCAACATAGCGAGAGAAAGAAGGAGATTTGAAAGGTTATAATAAATTTTTTAAAAATAGAGTAATTACCATTTATAGGAGGACATCCTAGGGTTTGGACCACTCCAAGTATAGAGGCAAGTCCCGGCAGATAAAGGGAAGTTTCCCAGAGTTCAAATGACCACACAATTCTCTGGGAAAAGTCTTTGCTCTCAGTCAGTATAAATCCTCTGGAAAGACAAATGTCCACTATGAAAGGAAGTATCCTCTCTCTCAAATGCCACTTTGTGCCCCTGTTTAAACTAATAAGGTCCTTGATCTCATGTTGCTCAGCTGTTGCCTTCTTAGTCAGATGGAGAAGAACATTAATTTTAGACACCAGGCTTTTCAAGGCCAATGGCTCCATTTCAGAGGTCAGGTAAGGAGAGGATGAACTGGGAACAGTGGATGAAATATCACCTTCGCCCCTTTTCTCTCATCAGTGTGGCAATACTCACAGAATTACAAAGCTGCATTTGTCTTTGGCAATCGTATGCCCAGCAACCGTGCCCCGTTCGGACACGTGATCATTGAAGTGCTCGTGCCCAGCAGGAGGACTCTGACTGTGAGAACCCCATAGCCACCTTTTTGCCTGCCTTACACTTTGAACATGTCCAACTAGAACATGAGAGATCATCTGAGAGCACTTAGCAAGTTTTAACTTTCTCAATCCTTAAAATTACTTGCAGTATCTCCAACTGTTTATAGCTCTAGGGAAAGGTCGCAGGCACAGGCATCCAGGGAGTTACAAAGGACAGGAATGAATTTTCACGAACTCTCTTTACAAGCAACACTGTGACTTTCCCACTCGCTTTTCCTCACAGGCCAAGAAAAGAGAATCCAGTACAAACAATTCACCTGCCTGATTCTAACAGTATGTATCCCTAGATTTATTTAAGTGGCATAAAACTTTGTTTAAAAAATAGAACTAGTAACATAGATAATCTTACAATTCTTCAACGCCCGGACAATTTTCACCTCTTTGGAGCCTTGCTGATCCCTCCACTCCCCACCCCAACAACACCGTCTAATGTTCTCTTGTTTCGCCCAACCAAATAAAAAGTTCTTATTTTTAATTCAGATCAATGTATTGAATATAAAATAAAAATACGTTTCCATTTTGAGTAGCATATAAAGAATTATAGCAAATTCTTTAGAAAGGAGAACTCTGGCAATTTTTCTAGGATTAGAACACTTTGGTCTTCAGGAAGCATAACTAAACAAAATTATGTATTTGTTAAAGATAAATTGTTTAACAAAATTGTTATAAAAATACTGAACTGATTTGAGGTTACCAACTTTTCTTAGAGTAATTAAATTGTGAAACAGTGCTAATAAGGTGACAAATCTGCCCGCCAAAAGGAAACTATGTGTATGGCCTTCTGCTGATTTGACTGTACCCTCCTCCCACATCATACAAACAGCAGAATCAGAGTTTCCATCCCCTCAGCTCCAGCAAACCAAACACAGGCTCCAGTAAGCCAGAAGCCAGCAGAATCCTTTCCTTTGCTTTATTTTCTTAATAAATTTTTTATTTTAAAATAGTTTTAGAACAACAGAAAAAGTGAAAAGACAGCACAGAGATTTCCCTTATGCCCCATACCGAATTTCTCTTACTTTTAACATCTTACATTGGTCTGGTCCACTTGTCACAATTAATGAACCCATGTTGATAAATTATTATTAACCAAACTCTATACTTTATTCAGATCTTATAAGTTTTTCCCTGATGTCCCTTTTATGTTTCAGAATCCCATCCAGGATTTCATATTCCATTTAAAGCCACTAGGATTTGTGATGGATTGGATATGGGGTGTGAAAGAAAGATGGTAGACAAGGATGACTTTCCAAATTTTTTCCTGAGCACTTGAAAGAGAGAGGTGACATTAACTGAGATGTAGAAGGCCATGGGAGGAACACCTTTGAGGGGAAAAGTCAGGGGCTTTTTGACGGGTGCATTGGACATACAAATTGAGTACATTGTGAGGTAGAAATCTGGACTTCAGAGGAGTGGTCCAGGTTGGACATATAAATTTGGAAGTCATCGCATATAGATAGTTCCATGCACAATATGTACTCAATAAATATTTGTTGATTAATTACTAGAGAGAAAGTTTTTAACTGTGTCTATTTGTCCTAAAAAAGTCAGTTAAAAGAATCCATGCTACTTGTCTTCTAAAATTAGATGACAGTAGTCTAGTTTTGCTATGTCACACTATTTCCAGCTTCTGATGGCACAGAGAACAAGCAGCCTGGTACAATACTTGACCACCAAAAAAAACCAGGTAATACATGCACATCCTTTATGGTCTATCCACCTAGCCTCAGCACCCTAAGTCCATACCCATAAAATAATTGGAATGCCTTATAAATGCTCTTATGCTTGGAAAAGTTCACAGTGTGACTATGAGTAGGCCCAGTGGTACTTTTCCTGGATTTCCCTGATAGTTTGGAATTATAAATCTTTAAAAAAAAAAAATACTAACCTCAGGAAAACAGCATTCCACAAAGCCAAGGAAACTGTGATTCTTTTCAAGGGATATTTCCATTGACTAGCAAGAGACTGTACAGTCAAGGGAGTCACACAAAGCATGCATTGCCAATGACTCTGTGTACTGGTTAGTATTTAAACAAGGCTGGATAATGCTAATAGTTTCTATTTGTACACAGCATTTTGAATGTTTCCAGAACAGCAAGGCCTCTTGAACATTGACACACAAAAGTGGAGCAATCTTCACAAATACCAAAATGCAAATGAAAGACATCCCTGTTATCCACATAACTATTGAATTTTCTTTCCTTCAGAAAGCACCACTGAGTATGATCCATAAAAGCAAAAGCTGATAAATTGTACTTCATCAAAGTTCAAAATTTGCTTTCAAAAGACACCATAGGAAAAAGAAAATGCAAGCTACAGACTTGGAGAAGATACTGTGAAATCACATATTTGATAAAGGACTTTTATCCTGAATGTACAACAGACTCTTACAACTCAACAGTACAATGACAATGCTATTTTAAAAAATGGACAAAAGATTTAAATATATATCCTGTCAAAGAAGATATACAAATGAAAATTAGTCATTAGGGAGATGCAAATTAAAATCACAATGAAATAGCACTTCACATCCACTAGAAGAGCTATAATAAAAAAGACAGACTAAAGCAAATGCTGGTGAGGATGTGGAGTAACTGGAACTCTCATCGTACATGTTGCTGGGAATGTAAAATGTTGCAGGTGTTTTGGAAAACAGTTTGGCAGTTTCTTAAAAACCTACTTCCCATATACCCTAGCAATTCTTCTCCTAGGTATCTACCCAAGAGAAATGAAAACACATAAACACACAAAGCCTTGCACACGAATGTTCATAGCAGCGTTATTCACAGTAGCCAAAAATTGGAAACAACCCAAATGTCCATCAACTGGTTTGGTGAATAGAAAAAGATAATGTGATATAGCCACTCAAATGGAATACTACTCAACAATAGAAAGGAGTGAAGCACTGATCCCTGCCACAACTTGGATAAACAAAAATGTTGTGCTAAGTGAAAAAAACCAAAAACAAAGATCACACACTGTATGGTTCCATTTATATGAAATGTCTAGAAAAGGCAAATCTATTGACATAGAACGTAGATTAGTGGCTACCTGGAGAGTAGGAACAGGAATTAACTGTAAACAAAATCTTATTGGGGTGATGGAAATGTTCAAAAACTGTACTGTGGTGATGACTACAACTCATTAAGTTTTCAAAAACATTGGTAAATTGCACACTTAAGGTGGGTGAATTTTATAATATGTAAATAATACTTCAATAAAGTAATTAAGAAAAAAGAAACCCAATAATATGATTAATAAAAAGAAAACTTGTTAGGGGCCGGCCCGGTGGTGCAAGCGGTTGGGTGCGCGCGCTCCGCTGCGGCGGCCCGGGGTTCGCTGGTTTGGATCCCGGGCGCGCACCGACACACTGCTTGGCAGGCCATGCTGTGGCGGCGTCCCATATAAAGTGGAGGAAGATGGGCACAGATGTTAGCCCAGGGCCGTCTTCCTCAGCAAAAAAAGAGGAGGATTGGCAGATGTTAGCACAGGGCTGATCTCCTCACAAAAAAAAGAAAACTTGTTAGAAGAATAAGGAAAAAAAAAAGCACGGCTGAAGGGTTTCTGGTCTCCTGTTTCAAGTGACCAAGGGTGGGATCCAAGGAGATATAAACCGTACCCCACACTGGTCGGGTCACCTGAGGCCAAAGAAAAGGAAGGGGAAATGGCGAGTGGGAGAGTCTAGACTCTCACTCTTTCCTTCTCCTAGTATGAATACCACATGATGTATAATTTTGTAATTAATAGAAAAGTTAATGCTAATTTAAAAGTAATTTCTCTCTCTCATTTTCTACTCGGAGATAGGATACTTCAAGCAAGGTTAATGATGTTACAGAATATCCAGACTTGTTTACAACCAAGGTTGATATTACTTTTGTAAAACTTCCAAGTGACAGTGAGTAAGTCGCTAAATTTTGTGTAATAAAAAGTGAAAACAACATAGGAGGGTTTAAAAACTAGATAAAAATATAGATGGGGCCATTTAAAAATGAATCTCCTTCAGAAAAATTAAATAATGTTTTATTTCATTACCTAATAATGGTTGCACAATTTGTTCATCTAATTGTATCCATTTTTACTTTCTTGTAAAATATAAATACATGTCACTGAGTTAATATACTGTTTAGAAAACACCAACTGTGATTTTCAATAGGAACAAAGTACATTGTGCAAACACTATTCATAAATTCATAAATAAATTTCCAAAGCTCATACGACTTTCATATGACTTTCAAATATTTTTCCTTTCCTCTGACTTATTTTTTTAAAACCTAAAACCTGCAGAGAATTTGTGTGAATAGAACCATGAATATCCATACATCTTTCATGTAGATTCACTAAATGTTAATGTTTTCTATATTTGCTGTCTCTCTCTTTCTCTTTCCTGAGAGTAAGTTACAGACCTCCTGAAACCTTAACCCTAAATATGTCAGCCTATGTCTCCTGAGAACAAAGATACTTTCTCACATAACATTAATGAAAAATGTGAAATTTTGGGTTGTACATTTTTGTTTGTCCATCACCATATATATGTCTCCCTTCACCTCTTGTGCCCACCCCCCACCCCCACCCCCATTGCCCCTGGTAACCACAATACAGTTTTCTCTGTCCATGTGTTGGTTTATATTCCACATATGAGTGAGATCATACAGT